GATAGAAACCTTAACTAGCAACTTAACACAGGACAAACAAGAACTTATTCTTTTTTAAAATATTTTATTTATTTATTATATATACAGTGTTCTGTATGTATGTATGCTTGCATGCCCAAAGAGGGCAGAAGATCTCATTACAGATGGTTGTGAGCCACCATGTGGTTGCTGGGAATTGAGCTCAGGACCTCTGGAAAGGCAGTCAGTGCTCTTAAAAGCACTGAGCCATCTCTCCAGCCCAAGAACTTATTCTTTAACTAGGATTTAACACAGGACAAACAGAAACTTCTTCTTAATTACAATTAAAAACCTTAACTTGCAAGGACTTAACATAAAACAATCAGGAACGTCTTTTGCACATCTTAACTGCAGACAGGGTTCTTAACCCGCAAGGTATATTTTTCCTGTTTTGGTCTCCCATTAATGTGAGAGATATATTCTTCCTGTTTTGGTCTCACAGTATATCAATGGTAAACGCATTTGCTTAACAAATGTGAGGCCCAGGGTTCAATCCCCAGTATTACAAAAAAATAAGAATAAAAACAAAAGAAGACCTCACTGCAAAATAATATAATATATATACTCACTACAGAAAACCTGGAAAATATAACAAAATGTTAAAAAGCGCACAAATCATCCATAATCTCACTATCAAGTCTTAAGTCCATTTAATTCTTTCTCATCTTCTACCCAGAGGGTCATTTAACACAGTTTGGAGTCAAACTGCTTATTTAAGTTGGATTGCAGCACATTTAAAATTATATTATGGGGGCTGGAGAAATGGCTCAGAGGGTAAGAGCACTGACTGCTCTTCCGGAGGTCCTGAGTTTAATTCCCAGCAACCACATGGTGGCTCACAACCATCTGTAATGAGGTCTCTCATTACAGTGCCCTCTTCTGGCATACATGGAGTCTGAACACTGTGTACATAATAAATAAACACATCTTTAAAAATATATATATTATGGGTAGTTCCCACATCATTAACATCTTTTGCTTAGCATACAAAATGACAAATTCTCTTTAAAACTGATTCAGATAATTGCTAAGTACTGTTGAAATAATAAAATTAAATGCAAGGTAATGTGATGGCTTAACAGCCTTCATTTTGCAATGATGCAAAATGAAATTCGAAAGTAACATCAAAGGAAGTCATCCTCAGTAAATATTATTTCATCACACATTAACTCTGCTTACACATGTGCACAGCTCACTATGTAATTATGCTTATCTCAAATACATAGCAATATATATAAATACACAGTATCAAATGCAAAACCATTCATACTCATATGTGAATATTATAAGCACACATATAAGTATGTATGTGATACACATATGTACACACAAAATTCCATATAAATCCATACATGTCATACACACAAATATAGACCTGAGCATACACTACATGGACTAAATTTAGATGTTGAACAAGGGGTCAAACAAGTTTGAAAATCATCAGGCAAAAAAAAAAAATCTGTCTCACAAGGACAATGTTCAGGTATCTCCTAAGGTACTGCTAGAACTGCAAAAAAAAAAAAAAAAAAAAGAAAGAAAAGGAAAAAACCTGTGTCTGCCAGAATGGTGTAAATTATAATCTTGGTACTTGAGGCAGGACTGTGTGCTCAAGGCCAGCCTGAGCTACATGGACAGTTCTAGGCTAGCCTGTGCTATGCAGCACGCCCATCTCAAAACAACACCTGAAAACTTGCAAGTTCGCAACAGGGAAAGGAAGACAAAGAAATATGTCAACTCAACATCTTCATAAGGTGACTTCTACCCGGCCCGGAAAACAGTAATGTTGAAAGTTCCAAGTACCACACAGTTGGTAAGAAAAGCAAGTGGAAGAAAAGAAAAAAGAAAAAAAAATGTCGGAGGTATTACACACCCATTCTGGGATCTTGTAATTACAGAGACAGACTTTTTTCTCTCATTCACTCAGGAAAAGTTTACTGAACGCTTGCTGGGCGCCAGACTCTCTTCTAGGCAACGATGTTAAGCAGCAGATTTGACTGATGCACTGTAATGGGAAAGAAAGCAAAGAACAAAATACACCACTGATTCCATCAAACACTCTCTCCACAAACTCGAGGTATACACAGACCTGTATTTGCTTTCTGGGTTAGGGATAACTGTTCAGTTTCTTACCGCTACTCACAATGGCAAGCAAACTCAAAGAATGCATTGCCCAGGACAGCAGGCTTGAGCTCTGACTTCCAAGTCGACGCAGGCGTCTTAAGTCTTGTAGCCTAGCAACAAATAGTTCCAGGGCCAGCAGCCGCAGCCTAGGCTTGTGAGGACCAGTTCTTGAGCTAAAGGTGTCAGGGTTGAAAGTGGTGAAAGGTCGTCATTCTGACAAGCCCCGCCTAGTGTCTGGTAAACAGACCTAAGGAGAGTCAGAGGCAGGGGAATGAGGAATTTCATGAAATTTCTGGGAATTTCTTGAAAGTAGACGCATTGGATTTTGAAGACACAATGAGGGGAGGGGTGTGAATAATGGAATAAAAGTCAAGGCTGAGAAATGGAGAGGAAGAGGTCATTTACGGAGTGACTTCACTAGATGCTGAGTTGAGAACCCATCCAAGTCTGGCATGTCTGACCCAGGGAAAATCAGAGGGGCCTGAGGGTAAAGACAACCCAGTCCACGAATGTTGTGGTGAATGAAGTTAAAGCAGCAACAACCAGGAGAGAAGGAAGACGGGTTGGGAGACTTTACAGCAAACACACACAGGTGCCGCGAGGGGGCGCTGTCTCCATGGCGGAAAGAATGGAGGGAAGGCAGGGAAGGGGTGATGGGCAGAAAGGTACAGAGAAAGCATGGCAGTGGACACCGGAAGCAGATATTCCAGTCCCCAGCCCTGAGAAAGGAAGGAAGAGAGGAGGGAGGGGAGAAACGGCATTTGCACGTGGACATGGAAGCAGCGAGGTCCGCACTTGGGGAGGCGGGCGAACCTCAAGGAGCCCCACCCAAAGGAAGATTTATCTGCGTCCTGCCGGGTGAGAAAACGCGAGGGTTAACTCTGGACAAGGGGCCCGACTAAGCTGCTACCGCCCCGCTTTAGCTTTAAACTGGGTGACAGCCAGTCACCAAGGTCTAGGGCTCTACTCCGCCTACGGAAGTCGGGAGGCTCTACGTGCTCTGCGCGTGCGTGCGCAAGGTTCGGGAATGAGGTTTTCCTGAACTGCCAGACGTCACTGAAGGCTGGGTGCGGAAATCCGGGATAAGCAGCTTCCCCTTAGCTTCCGGTCTCGAGCTCTGAGGCTTTTAGTACCCGTCAGAAATCTGCAGGCCTCCTGTCCCAGACTGCGCAAACCTCCCACGTGAGGTCGTCCTCCCGCGAAGGTTCCTTCCCCTGTCGTCTCCCCACCCAACCCACTTCGGGATATGGCCCAGGGAGCCCAGCGAGGCCAGCGCCCTTCCATTTGTTACCATCTAGGGGTCTTGATAGGAGTTCCTTCCCTCGACAGTTCAAGAATCAAAAGGCAGAAGAAAAGAATCTCTAGAAATGCAGACGGAAATCAGTCCGTCAAGAATGGCTTTTATTAGGGGGTGAGGAAGCAAAGCAGAAAGCCAAAGCCCAGCTTCTCTTCTTCCCCTAATTTAGTAGTGGCCAGTTTGAAGACAGACAGCACAGCTGACTGGCCTACATCTGTTACTTAAATATGCCCAGATCCTTGAACTTGTTGAGTCAGCCCATCCGCTGGGGTCCTGCTGGCAGGAGGAAACGCCCATAAGGCTGTTTTAAGTCGTCAGGCTTTGTCTTGGGTCAGGAAGGTGAGGAAGCAGCCAGCTACATTGTAAATTTATAGTCTATTTCTTAGCAATGGGCCTTCACCCTATCTGCCTGCCTATCACAAAGGAACTAACTTCTAGTCTCTCACACTCAGCTAAATCCGCAGCACTTAACATTTTGAAACAATGTCTCCTAGACCGCCCCTCAAATGCTGGTTTACCAGTGCTCAGTACAGCAGGGTTTTATTGCTCTTTCCTAAGAGAGTCGCCAGCCTCATGTTTGTGGCACATAGGAGTACTGTTTCCAGAAATGTGCACCAGAGTTAATGGCTCACACTTGGAACATCATCACTCTCAAACCCAGTACTTTGGAGACCCAGGAAGGAGGCTATTTGAGTTCTCTGCCAGCCTAATTTACAAAGAGATCCACTCCAGCCTGGACTAATATAGCCTGGACCCCTTCCTCTTAAGTAGAAACTGTTGTGAACGTCTTGCGTCTAGGACTGCAGCTGTTTCTGGGAATATAGTCACATAAAAGACTCCTCCAGAGTGATAAGCAAAATGCAAAGTGCCTGTCGACACAGCTTTGTCAACACTTGTTTCCAAGTATTACCCATCCAGATAAAGTATCTTGGGATTTTGTTTCATGTCATGAAATTGGACACTGCCATAAATTTATTGGCCATTTGGATTCCCTCACTCACGATGTTACAGATCCAAAATGTTTGCCCATATCTTTACTGGGTTTTCTCTTTGACATGCTGGATACTTTACATATTTGAATACCATTTCTATGTTGGCTCTATGACCTGCAATGGTCTTTTCTCTATTGCCTGCTTTTTCACTTACACAATATGAACTTTCTGATGCACACGAATTCTTAAATTTACTATATCCGTTTCTCTGATATTCATTTCACTTAAAAAATATTTGCCAAAAAATGCTTGATAGTCTCAACCAGAAGCTTCATCCTCTTGCTTTTCCATTTAAATAATTTGTCTAGAACAGGGGTTATTAAACTATACACCTGGGTCTATGCTAGTCCAGATCTTGTGTGTTTGGGCAAAGAATATGTTTTTATAATTTTGTTTTGCATTTTGGAGACTTGAGTCTTACTACATAGTCCTTGCTGACTTGAAATTTGTGACAATCTTCCTGTCACTGCATCTAAGTGTTGAAAGTTACAGGTGAGCATCACTAGATCTTGCTTAGTTTGCTAAACAGCTTTTTAATTGTATTCCACAGTGAAAATGACAGGAAACTCAAGTTTCAGAGTCCATAAGTAAAATTTTATTGGACACATCCACACTGGTATGCTTACAAATCATTAATAGCTACTTGCACATTGCAGTCACATGTGGTTGAGTAGTGCAGTACAGTTTAAAAAAACACTGTTGCCCTTGCAGGAAAAAATGCTGACCTGTGGGATAAGGTATCGATTTTAACTATAAAAAAAAATTCCCGAATCACAAGATAACACTTCACACCATTAGAACAAAAAATAATAAATTTGGTAAGGACATGGTAAGAAGTCAGAGCAGTCATACATCACTGGTAGAAACATAAAATAGTTCAAGTGATATTAACATCAGTTCCTCAAAAGGCAAAGACCAAGCAATTCCACTAAGATTCTACCCAAAAGTACTGAAAACGTATTGGCACATGAGTTTGTATATTTGTTCAAAGCAACATTCTTAATAGTCAAAAAGTACAAGCTGAAATGTCCATCAATCAATAAACAAAATATGGTTTTAATCATATGGTGAAATTTTTTCAGCCACAAAAAGGATTTCTAGTACAACATGACCTTGAAAATATATGCTAAGTGAAATCAATTAGTGACAAAGGGCCATATGTTTTATTTTTCTATGGACATGCAATGTATAGAATTCCAAATACACACAGAAAATAGATCAGTGGTTGCCAGGGTCTTGGAGTAGAAAAATGCTAACAGGTACAAAAGTCTTTCCTGTGGTTAATGAAAAATGTACTGAAATTACAGAATGGAGGTGATTTAACAACCTTAAGAGAGAATACTAAGAGCAACTGAACAGAACACTTAATTTTTAAAGCTTGAATATTAGTTTATGAAAAATGACCATTAATGCTGAATGTCTGTGGTTATCAAGCCTAGGTACAGGCATATACTTATATATGAGTTACTTTCTTCTGCTTGATTGTTCATAATTCTGAAAACATTTATTTTCAGATGTTTTCTTGCAAATGAAATTTTTTTTTTGCAAAGTTTTGTTCTCTACACCTGCCTCTACAATAAACCCTCTTCTTTAAATACTGCTCATAAAGAAATTCACTTACGGCTTAACGGCTCCCACCTGTAGCTGACATGATGGAAGGTTTCTTCCCCCAAATCCTAACCTCTTGTTGCATAACACACATGCAATTGCCTTTCATTGTGAAAGGAAGTGAATGATCAAGCCTAAATTCACAGGGCTGGAGATGTGCAATACATCCTTGGGGAGAGTACCTTCAACAATTATACAGATTATCATAGTTGTTTTCAAAATCTTTTTTTTTTTTTTTTTTGGCCTGGCAACAGTATTTTAATTAATGGCTCTCTATTACATCCCTGGCCCCATTTCACATCATCCATTCTAATCACAATGGTCTCCTGGCTATTCCTCAAATACAGTATGTTCTTGCCTCTGGAAGAATATTTCTTCCCTAAGTAACTACTGGCTCCTTCCCTCATATTTGATAGGTCATTAGGAATCATCTCAGTGACCTGTTTTCAAAACTGTAATCACTTCTATACAACACATACATCCCATCCCCTTTCTCAGCTTTATTGTCCTCCCAGGCATCAACCACCATCTGACACATGATACAAACCTGTTTTCCTCCCCTGCTCAATTGTAAACACCTCGTTCAGCTTTCAGCTAGAGTAGCAACTCTGACTGTACTGCAGGTACTCTACGCAGCTGCTGAACTAAGAGACATGAAGTTGGGCCAGTCTAATGAACAATCTGCAGCCACACTTGAGCACTGATAACTTTAGCATCAAAATAATGTGGGTTAATGGAAACTACTAAGACAGTGGCCATAATTATAAATGCTCCCAAAATCAGCTGTGGACATTGCATTCTTAGACTGTAGACAAGCTTTGGGGTGCTGAAATGTACCTTCTTGGCCACCCAAGTCAGTGGGGGTGGGGGGGAGTAAACTTAAGGGAAATCTACTCTTTATCTTTTCTACTCATTCACAGGATTTATTAATTTTTTAATTTATTATTTTTAATTTATTATTGATTTTTGTTGTTTCAGGCAGGGTCTCACTTGTAGCTTGGCTGTCCTGGAATTCACTAGGTAGACAAGGCTGACCTCTAATTCACAAGAGATCTGCTAGTCTCTGCTTCCCAAGTGCTAGGATTAAAGGTGTGTGCCGTCACACCTCACAGGATTTAATTCTCTAAACCAGTACTAAAAATCAGGGCTGTTAAAATGGTGAAAGGACAGAAGCCAGAGCCAACAGAATTCTTTTTTCCTTATTAAACTTTTTTTGTGGATATGGAGTGGAAGGGGTTGGTTTATTAACTTGCTGGCTAAGAGAACACACACAAAACACTTCTGTCAGGCGTCTAAAAGAACATGTGAGGGACACCACCTATAGATAATACAATAAATGATCACAAACACTGTGGCTTAAAACCACACAGCAGTTCTCTCCGTTTAAGACTGGAATCAGGGGGCTGGAGAGATGGCTCAGAGGTTGAGAGCATTGCCTGCTCTTCCAAAGGTCCTGAGTTCAATTCCCAGCAACCACATGGTGGCTCACAACCATCTGTAAAGGGGTCTGGTGCCCTCTTCTGGCCTGCAGGAATACACACAGACAGAATATTGTATACATAATAAATAAATAAATAAAAAAAGACTGGAATCAATTCACTTACACTAGACTAATAAGAACAGGAAGAACAGGAATAGGTCCTTCTAGGGGAGAATCCATTTTCTTGCCTCTCTGGCTTCCAAAAGCTACCTACATTGTGGACATTCCAGCATTAAAGCCAGAAACGGGTAAATTAAAAGCTCTTCAAAGACAGAAAAAGTAAAGTAAATGTTCATTCTTTGAAATACTCTACCTTCACTTTCTACATCTGATTCCAGCCAACGTTCTCTGCCTATTAAGGGCCTGGGTGATTAAATGGGACTTTTTTTTTTCCTTTTATTATTATTACAAATTTTCACCTCCTCCCCTCCTCCCATTTCCCTCCCTCTCCCCCTCCCCCTCCCCTTCCAGTCCAAAGAGCAGTCAGAGTTCGAGGACAGTCTCCTCTCTGTCCTGCTCCCCAGCCACTCAGGCCTAACATCAACAATCACCCAGGCTGCACTAGAAGTCATCTGGAACTCTCCCAATTCAAATCTCACCTTTCCGTCTTTAGTCAGAAGTATCCATCTTCTATAGAGTAGTTATTTTCATTACAATTATTATTCTGGTCATTTGAGACCAATTATTTTAGAAAAGAACAAGGGGAAACCATTCACACATCACACAAACCCCATGTGGACTCACTCCAATTTCATAGCTGACACCTCCTCCTTGGGGTGCGTGCCCTCAGACCATCCGCTGGTCTGGTGCTAATTTCCTATTCCAGAATCTAGAATGCAGACTCAAAAAGCAAGGACACTGCTAACATTAACACTGTGGTACATTCATGTTTTACTTGAGAGTAACAGACAGCAAGTGTCCAGTCCTTGAGTGAGTCCACTAGTTTTCATGTCTTACTGAGACATCTCACCCTATATGGCAGCAGTTCTCAACCTGTATGTCATGACCCCTGGGGGTTAAACAGCCGAGGGGTTACCTAAGACCACTGGAAAACAGATGTTTACATTACAATTCATAACAGTAACAAAATTATAGTTATGAAGTAACTATGAAGTAGTAATGAAAATAATTTTATGATTGGGAGTCACCACAACAAGAGGAACTGCATTAAAGAGTCTCAGCAGTAGGAAGGATGAGAACCACTATATAGAGACAATCTGTAAGTTATACATGACTGTATCTCTCATGGGAACATGAGACCAATTTTTCAAATGATGAGGTTGAAAAGTATACAAAAGAAATATATATAACTCAATCTCAGCACTCTTAATATTCTGAGATGAATTAACTGTTCCAAGGGTTATCTTTGTAAGAGTCTGACAGTATCTTTGGCCTCTATCTACTAGGCACCAATAGCTTTTCCACCATGTGGGTGCAAGAAACCAAACCATGGTCCTCTGCAAGCATAACAAGTGCTCTTAACCACTACCTCTCCATCTCCATCGTGTGATTGTTTTTCCTGTCAAAGAAGGGCATCCATACAGAGATGTCTGACTTCCTTATCAATCTACTCAACAGCTTTAATCATCTCAAAATAGACTTATGAGTCTCCCTCCCTAAGAACCAGAAAATACAGGATCAAGTCAATATTACCAGATCAGCTCACAGGACTTTGAAACCATCAAACAAATTGTCTAGCTTTCATTTAGCCAGCAGTGAACTGAGAAAGGACATGCTAGGATTATTCCAGATTTTTCTTTAACTTTCTCCTCCCTATCCTCAAACTGATAAACCTCTTCCTCCACAATGCCGTAATCTTCATAATACAAGGTCCAGAAGAAATGATCCTAAGCTCAGGATACGCTGATTTCAGAGAAAGTTCTGTCTATATACACCTGTAGATGCTTACAGCTTCCTGTCACTATGATCTAGCCTTTATAATGTCTAACAATATCTTTGGCCTCTATTCACTGGCAAAGGTCCATGAAAAATACCAAATATCTTTCCTTTTAGCTTCACTTTTATATACACTATCAGTTATATAAAAATGTATAACAAGGAAAATTATATAAATGTAGTCTCCTAAGAAAGCCATTAAATTTTTTCCATCACCCACTGCTAACCTAATATGAATACTCTTAACATGACTGTAATGATAATAAATCTATTTTATGCCTTCTTTTGTAATGATTTAAGCATTTTTAGTATTGCAAGAAAACCTTTAGATTTCGCTTCAAATGACCTTAACTCTGAACAAATTAGTGTCCTAAATGATCGTCAATGGTGAAGGCAAGAGATAACTGAAATACAACTCAATGTTTGCTTGTTCAACAACTAAAGCAATGGATACTATTTCTTAGAAGCAGCCCTTTCCATCATGGAGAGCACGTTAGTCTTAAAAGGGAAAACTTCATTTCAATCACAAACAACTCCTACGTCCAGTTTCAGCTCACTAAATGAGTCCTCAGTGTTCTGGCAGCACTATGAAACACAAGTGCATTTGAACAGCAAATTCAACTAAAACTGTGGCTGTCATGGGGCGTGTGTGAGATCTCTCACCACTATGCCTTTGCTGAAACGGGAAAGACAGTAAAAACTCCTGACGAAAGAGTTCTTCCCAATTACACTTACAAGCTTGGCGTCTACTAAGCACTAGCCTATATACAGTAAGATGATACTCACTATTAAGAATGCCTCCTATTGATTATGTACTGAATGCATTCACAGGTTCTTAGGGAAATACCATCCTCACTTCCAGGTGCTCTATTTCAGTGTCTGCACTACAAGTCTGGTAAGGCTGAATCATCCCTCAAGCCTTTCTACACTGATTACCAATCAACCCTCTCTTCAGGAGTTTCCCCAATAACAGAATTAATGGGATTATAGGATATTTCATACTCAAATTCTTTTCTGTTAACAAGGGAAGTCATATCTGAAGACACCTCTCCTCTGTTCATTCAAGAAAAGTTTGGCCAACATTAATTATGCTTCCACGGGCTGTTCTTCAAGGTGTGTTCTCTGATGTCGGACAAGACACCAGCTCCTTCTAAATATTTTCCCACATTGAGGACACTGGCTGGGACCCTCCCTGTTATGGAGTCGCTGGTGTACTACCAAGTGAGTGTTCTGCCTGAAGGACTTTCCACACTTCAGACACTGGTATGGAGTCTCCTTAGTGTGAATCCTCTGGTGCTTGGTCAGACAAGAACTATCCCTAAAAGCTTTACCACACTGATTACACTCATAAGGCCTTTCACCAGTATGAATCCTCTGGTGCCGGATAAGTCCAGCAATATTCCTGAAGAGTTTACGACACTGGTTACAACCATAGGGCTTCTCACCAGTGTGAATTCTCTGGTGCCTGATGAGGTACGCACTCTCAATGAACGTTTTCCCACACTCTTTACATTCATAGGGTTTCTCCCCAGAATGAATTTTCTGATGCACAATGAGGTGAGAATTGCGATTGAAGGATTTCCCACACTCTACACATTCAAAAGGCTTCTCTCCAGTGTGTGTCCTCTCGTGCTGAGTGAGGTATGAGCCATCTCGGAAAGCCTTTCCACATCTGCTACACTCATAAGGCTTCTCGCCGGTGTGGATTCGTAGATGTACAGTAAGGTGAGAGATGTCAGTGAAGGGTTTCCCACATTCATTACACCTATACGGCTTTTCCCCTGTATGAGTTCTTTGATGCAAAATCAGGGATGAATTTCTGTTGAAAGTTTTTCCACATTCTAGACAGGCATAAGGCTTCTCACCTGTGTGAATCCTCTGGTGTTGTGTCAGAGCTGATCCGTCACTGAAAGCTTTCCCACATTTATTGCATTTATAGGGTTTCTCTCCTGTATGAATCCTTCTATGTACAATCAAGTTGTAGTTCTTGGAGAATGATTTTCCACAATCATCACAGGTGTAAGGTTTCTCACCAGTGTGAGTTCGATGGTGTAAAACAAGAGAAGAGTTCCGTTTGAAGCACTTGCCACATTCAGTGCATTTAAAGGGCTTCTCAATGGAATGACTTCTTTTTTCATTAAGAGATGAGTTCAGGGCCAGAATGTCCCCAAAGTCCTTACCTTTGTAAAATTTTTTGCTTCTTTTCTTAATTTTTTTGTCACAAAGGGGAGTAGTAAAGTGGTTTAGAGATTTAATACTTTCTGTGTATTTATAGGGTTTGTCTTTCATTTGGTTTCTTGCAAGTTGAGTGACTTCCACGGAAGGATGGATGGCTTTTTCACAAGCATTACCATCACCAGTTTCCTTAGCTGTATAACTCTGGGGACAACTATGTAAGGTTTGATCACAATCAAAAGTTTTAATATCTGAGTTATGAACATGAAAGCCATTTGTTGTAGGAACTCTCTGAGATTCTAGAAGGGCTGGATTTGTACTCAAATGCTCCCCCACACCAAGATCATCACAGTTTGTTTCCTGAACCCCTGTTTTCTCATCAGTTAAAGAAGACTGCCTCATATTTCTTTCCTGGTTCTCACAGTCCCAATTGTCACCTAAAATGGGGAAGCAGAGTCCCTCTCTTTTAAATCCTTCCATTTCTACCTCAAAGGAAACTTCTTCTTCTTCTTCTTCTTCAGAAACATTCTGAGCTATTATTTTTCAGTCTCATTTTCCATACTGAAAAGAAAGAAAAAGACACATTAAGAAAACAGATATATTTGGAAGAAAATGAAAAATGATAATGGGCTAAAGTATGTTTTGCTTGTTTTTTTGTTTCAAATTCATATCTGTAAAACAGGGAGTTTGAATGAATGCCAAGGCTGAAGCTAAGAGCAGGTTCAAAAGAAGTGACATTACATTGTAATACTCTCAAAGAACAGGTCAAAGGAATACCATGTAAGGATAAATAAAACAAAAATAATTAACTCAGTACATAGGAGAAGGGAAGGTAGACATCTCTGTTCATTCTCAAATATGATCTTGGTCACTGCCTTCTTGTCCTCTATCACCAATGCCCCTCATCGGAAGTCAACGCATATCATATGAGGAAAGAGAAAACCTAGACCTAGAAACCAGTGCTGTAAATGCTGCACTTAGGAGGTAAAGCCATAAGAATGAGGTCAGTCTACTCTATATAACAAATACCAAATCAGCCAAGCCCTATTTATAAATAAATAAATAAATAAATAAATAAATAGAAATATGGTAACATAAAGCTCAGATCTGCACACATGTTCGTTAAAAGCTGTAAATTAGTCAGTCGCATAGCTGGATAGTTTGGTATCCACTAATAAAACATAAACCTTTCATCATATAAATCTAATCATAGTTACCTCAGAAAATAAGAACAAGTGACTATCAATACACACCTATGAAATGATCTTTTTTTCAATTTTTTATTTTATATGTATAGGTGCTTTCTATGCAAGCATATCTGTGTACCACATACATGTCTAGTGCCTGCAGAGACGATATGGGATCCCTTGGAACTGGAGTTTCATACGGTTGTGAGCCACCACGTAAGGACTAAGAATTAAGCCCAGGTCCTCTGGAAGAGCAGCTAATGCTCTTAACCACTGAACTGTCTCTCCAGCCCTATATGGAATAATCTTAAAAGAAAAGAAGGAAAAAGACAGAACAGTAATGGTAAAGATGAAACTTAATATGGTTGGTCATGATTACATAATAGCAAAGTAGAAAGATAAAAAGAGATGGAAAGCTTTTTTCAAAGCACTAAAGGAAAACTACCAGGTTCACCAAGATCCAGGAGTGAGAGTAAAATAAAAACAAATTCAGAAAAACAAAGACATTCTTCAAAAAGAGGGGGACCAAAGAAAGGAGGGACCAGAACGAAAGAGAAACGGATAAATCCAATGCTGAAAAGAAGAAAAAAACAAGATCAAGTATTGGCCAGATAAAGATCACAGTACAATACAACAGTAGTAACATGCAACCAAACAGACAAGGCATCCTCAAAAGGAAGAAGAAATCAATATATCCAAACACAGCAAAAGGCTTATTTCCTTTGAAAATTGGAAAATCAAAAAAAAAAAAACTACTGGACAAGGCAAGCAGCAAAAATTTTCAGTTAGCTAGCCTTATCAAACAGTTGGTTGAAAAGCCATGTACATTGAAAGTCAAATGTTTTCTAAGCACATGTGAAACATTTGCTTAACATGACCACAAACCAGATCAAAGAAAATACTGAGCAAAGGCCAGATGACAGCATAAAAGACCAATCTACGGAGAGAGTGCAGTCAAGCTAACAACCAGTCAACACAAGAAAACCAAATACAAGAAAACCAAAGGGGAAAAAAAAGTATTTCTTTGAAAAAGTATGAACATGAAAACCTATTTCTTAGTGATGGATAGATCTAAAACCTTGATTAAAATAATACCTCTAAGTAAAAAAAATAAAAATGCTATTATCACAAAATGAGACAAATTAGGCTGCAGTCAACTTAGTTCTTGGACAGAAAGTATTATTCTTTAACACTTATAGTGAAAAAAGACCACAGAGCTAGGAGTGTATATTGGAAGAGTGCTGACCTAGCCTGTCTAAGACTCTGTGTTCCAGCCCCAGCATCAGAAACAGTAACAATAATAAATTCCTGGTTATCCTAAAGTATACTGTGTAGAAGGTTAATCAGTCATGGGAACCTCAACGTTAGCGAAGGATTTTCATGACGAATAGATGGTATATACTAATATGAATAACAAAACCACATGTGCAGCTGTGGGTAAAGTGTGGTGTTTCTAGAATGGCTCTGTGGGCTAAAACACAATTATCCACTGCTCCTACACTCATCTGGATGAACCATAAATCCCCACTGAGTGGCGTTCCAGAACAACATAATATGCACCTTGTACTGGTCTCGCTGAACACAGCGGACAAGGTGGACTACTGAGACCTCAAGAACAATGGCAATGGGTTTTTGATCCTACTGCACGTACTGGTTTTGTGGGAGCCTAGGCAGTTTGGATGCTCACCTTACTAGACCTGGATGGAGGTGAGTGGTCCTTGGACTTCCCACAGGGCAGGGAACCCTGATTGCTCTTTGGGCTGACAAGGGAGGGGGACTTGATTGGGGGAGGGGGAGGGAAAAGGGAGGCGGAGGTGGGGAAGAGACAGAAATCTTAAATAAATAAATAAATAAATAAATAAATAAATAAATAAATAAATAAATAAATATGCACCTCGTACTTCCACTAAAAAGAAACTCAAGTTTGGCCAGCATTTTTGCCACCTTACCAAAAGAAGGTGGAAAACATGTTTGAACATGTAAAATTTGAGGCCTTTTATGTAATCATACTTTTACCACCTACTATTAACTTGACTAAAAAAAAACAAAACAAAACAAAACAATGCTAGTGAGTTCACTTCTCACACTATACCTCATTTATATACAATCTCTATGTTCCAAAATGAAAAGGAATATCCCAAGAAATATTACAGGACCTAAAAGTAAAATTAGGGAGCTGGAGAGATGTTCAATAGTTAAGAGCACCTACTGTTTCTGAAGAGGACCTATGTATAGTTCTGAGCACCCACATGAAGGCTCAAAACTATCTCTAACTCCAGTCCCAGAGAATCAAGACCCTCCGTTCCCAGTGAGCACTGTGTACATGTGGTACACAGTTATACACAGATACAAAACATCCATACACATAAAATTAAAATAAACAGTAAAAAAAAGGTCTGACAAGTTCTACCTAAGCTCAGTTCATGACTGTCTTGTGAATAGGGTGGGTAACTACTTAAAGAATTTTTTAATTAATTTCACCTATAACTAATACTTATTTTATCAAAGCCTAAAATACAACCAACAAAGTCAAAAGTCATCCACAAGATGAGAGACAATGTATCTAGACTATACATAGAACTCAGAAGTCAATAATGAAATCAGACAGACATGTGGTCCACACCTATAATCCACACTTGAAAGGAAACCATGCCCCGCCCCTACCCCTGAATAAATAAACAAATATGACAACCCACATTTTTAATTAATTAATTTATTTATTAATTAAAGATTTCTGTCTCTTCCCCACCGCCGCCTCCTCTTTCCCTCCCCTTCCCCCAATCAAGTCCCCCTCCCTCGTCAGCCCAAAGAGCAATCAGGGTTCCCTGCCCTGTGGGAAGTCCAAGGACCACCCACCTCCATCCAGGTCTAATAAGGTGAGCATCCAAACTGCCTAGGCTCCCACAAAACC